GGATTATGATTTTACAATTTCTGTGTTAAAACCCTTTTAGATAATATAATTATTGGCAGGGCCATAAATATAAATTATAAATTTTATAATATTTAGATAATTTATATAACTGTGGCTGGCTGAGATAGGTGCAACGGCCGCCTCCTCGGAACGTGCCTCCGCATACATCATTTTGAATTGCCCGCCATTTCTAATCACGGCCATTAAAAACAAGACGCGTTTTAATTGGCGCACGCGTTCATGTTGTTGTTGCTTCCTCGGTGCGACAGGCGTCTCCCTCTAATGAGAAGCAGCGCGCACTCTGCAGACTGATTTCGAGTTTCGTCGCTGTCTCTCTCGCACTCATGGGGCGTCCCGTAGAGGTGCGAGAGAGACAGAGCGACGAAAACGACCCTCGGAATCAGTCTGGAGGGTGTATCCAATAACGCGCCGCCCTCCGTGCAGCCGGCCGTGCAGCCTCCAGGACCCGCGCCGCTTAAGCTCAACAATAATGGAGTCGAAATAAGAATGGCAAACAGGACCCCTGCGGCGCCACACGGCCGGTGCGGCTGGTCAGGACGCGCTATGGTAGCGGTCATCTCTGGTTTTGTAGTCACCGATAGACAAACCCTTTCGGACACTGTTATTTTAAACTTTTAGCAAATGGCACATATACTTTCGTTTGGATTTCCGCCTTTTTGGACGCTACCGCGCTTCTGTGCACTTTCCAGTAGGTGAAATTCACCATCTAAGAAAGGGTGAATCGAATCTTTCTAAGGATGAGGGAGGGGTGGATGGATAGGGAGAGTAAATGAGACTAAATGAGAGGGAATTTTACCACCCTATGGCTGTCGAAATTACCTCCAATTATAAATACTGTCTGCACCTTAATCAAGTAATGAGTTGAAAATCTGGCCGAGGTCCGTTATAGAGGCACGCCCCCTCGAGATCCAAGCGCACACACCCCAAAATCCTTACCCCAACACATTGCAGCCCCCTGGTGCTGCCATTAGCCACCATAACACCCCCACTGCGAGGCCCGGCGAGTCCTGGCGATGCCTGGGGCACCGAAATCTCCGTTTAATTCGAACAGCCCTTCGGACAAGGCGGCGCGTTGTGAAGCGATTCCTGTGCCCTGCAGACTGTTTCCGAGAGTCGTTTCCGTCGCTCTGTCTCTCTCGCGGGTACAGAGGACGCCCCACGCTCCATGAGTGCGAGTGCAGAGACAGCGACGGAGACAACTCTTTCTCAGACTCAGTCCCCTGCCAACCCTTTGCCCTTGGCTCCCATGTACAGACAGCAGTGCCACCACCAGCGACAAAGCAAATCTCCAACGACTAGGGAAGTGAAAAAATAATTATAAACATGTTTGCTTCCCAACGGGTCCAATCTGGACCCGCACCGCCGACAAGCGCGAGTGACAACCGTAAAGACGCGTCGACAGCCGGACAACCCGTCGGATTAATTAGGGAACATGATGAATTGGCAGCGGGCGTCTTCGGATCCGAACTGAACACCGTCCCCGGACTCGGCTACGGCTGATCCGGGTTGTCACCCGGACTCCCCGCACGCTAACCTCTCCAGACAGTACTGCATATCGTCTGCCGAGAACGCGCTGACGCAGAGCGAGCTAGCACTGGGTGGGCCAGGCCGGGGCAGGCCCACTGGGCCTCTTGACTGACATTTTCCATCATTGACCGTGTTCACGGTCGTCGGCTTCCATCCGTCACTCACCACTTGGCGAGGGTCCGCGAGGGGCGGGGCGGGGTGGGGCGGGGTGGGGCGGGGCGCGCCCATACGCTGCGGGTAGGGTGGCCTGCCTGGTCGGCTGGATAGAGAATCGTTTAATCTGGGACTGGGAGGGTGGCTGGAAGGGTTGGCACGCCCGAAGGCCCGAGGGCCCGAAGGGGCAGCGTGTTTATGTTGCCGCCACTGCGGCCCGCAGTCAACACGACGACAAGAGCGTCGCGCCGCTCGGTTGGCGGCCCCGGTCGGTCATCGCCGCTCCAAATGACCGCCAAATTTCATTTGCCGTTCGCGCCGCGCAGCGAGGGCAGCCGGGGCGGCCAGAGCAGCCAGAGCGCAGGGCTGAAAAGCCAAACATGACTCGCGTTTGCGACACGCGGGACTTGTTGACCGCGTTATTGACCCTCCAGAACGTTATTGACAGACCGTCCAGTTATTCCGCCGACGCCCTTCACGCCGGACTCATACTTATCGACTGCAAATAGGCCCTGTGTGTGTGTGTGTGTGTGTGTGTGTGTGTGCGCGTGCGCGCGCGCGTGTCTGCGCGAGGGTGCATGTGTTTCCAGTGAGACCGGGTGGGTGTGGGTGTGCGCGCGCAAGTGTGTGCATGTGTTTGTGTGCATGTGTGTGTGTGTGTGTGATGGAGAGAGAGAGAGAGAGAGAGAGAGAGAGAGGGGGGGGGGACCATGTGTTTCAGTACCTCCCTAGTGCGTGCGTGGACCAGTGCGTGCCCAGCCTACTGATGCTTCTTCAACCCCATTGATGAACCATCATCAACCACCACGCCAATTTAGGCACCGCAAAAAAAAGTTGCAACTAATAAAGATTCCAAATTGGTTCAAATTGCTTCGCACAAAGGGCAAGCTCCCTTTCAACAAGTCTCTCCATTTCACTTTTTTTTTTTTTTTGAAAAAAAAAGAGAAAATGTTAAACGAAGAGGGCAGTGTCCGCGGAGTACTGAACTGAGTGATTATTTGGCCCCTCTGCCCCTAATGGGGCAATTACTATTAACTCGCCTCATTCGGCCGAACCGCGGCTCCATTGAGCGGCTTTCCGGCCCGGCAAGAACACGATAGTTACACCTTAATCGAAAGATTATTCCAGTGGAGGGGACGGGCTACGCGGCCCCACCCGGCCCCGCCCGAGGAGCAGCAAGAGATATCGCTTCATTTCCCGGCGTGAGCTAGCTCTGGACACGGCCATGCAGCCGCGCGAGTCGAGCGATCCCACAGCCCGGCGGTGACGTCACGCTGTCTCCCTCGCACTCGTGGGGCGTCCCGTAAGGGTGCGAGGGAGACAGACCGAACGGTGGGGCGCCGTTTTCGGAGCCAGTCCGCCGGACCCACGTCGCAGTGCTGCCAATATTGACACGGACATATTCGGAATGTGGTGATGGATCGGTGGGCCCAGCGAGGGGGAGGGGGTGGAGGCGCCGCGCCTCTGATATCCGGCGGGATGTATCCCTGCCTTGGCGGTGCCTTCGGAGCCTTGGCGCTGCCTTGGCAGTGCCGCCAACCCAAGCCCCAAACAAATCCCGCCAAACTCGCCGCCCCGCACAAGCGCGTTTCTCTGTACCGGAAAAATAAACATTGGCGCGCGCGGATGACACGGAGAGAGACGGAACGGATCCGCGCAGCGCGCAAATGCGGCGGGGGCTCGGGGCGTCGACCCCCCCCCCCCCCCCAGCGCGGCCATGGCGGTGTGCACTGGGAATTAAATAAGCAGAGACGAGGAGGGAAGCGCGCGAAGGCGGGGGGAGCTTTTTGGCAGCACGTTCTATGGCGCCAAGGTATGAAAGTGTGTGTGTGTGTGTGTGTGTGTGGTATGGATCGAGACGAGGCGGTTTGTCTGTAGCAATAAAACGATTCTCGCGCGACGCGTTGCTCAACTTTTGTTCCGGCCTGTCCGTGGCGCGGCCGAAGGCACGGCCGTGCGCGACACGGCAGCCACGGGCCTATAAATCTAGCGCGCTCAGCGGCCAGCAGCGCCGCGCCTCCCGATGGCGACAAAAAAAGAAGCACGTCGTAATATATGAAGAACCATTCCTCGTGCGAAAATAAAGCGACTCACACACACACACACATACAGCTGTAGCAATTCGCCTGAAAAAAGAAAGAAACAGCATTATCTGCCGATGCTGGAATTTGCCTGGACGTTGGCGTGACTGCGACGTGTCACTCTGCCGGACACGTGACCAACGTGACGTGCAAAGGTCCGGCAGACACACAATGGTCACGAGATTAAAGAGTAAGGGAGGCTGGCCGGGCCCTTTAAGGCCGGTCCGAAGGGCCGGAGGGCCCTTGCACGCCCTGCACCGACCCACGCGACCCCTCGGGCGAAAAGCCGGGCTTATCCTTGTAAGGCGACGCGGGGCTGAGACAAAAAGGGCGACCTGCGCGCGCTGGGCCCCGGCGCCCCTAGCTAGCCCTACCGTGGGCCCTGTGAGGGAAGAACTGGCCACCAAGAAGGGCCGAGCCAGGAGGAGGATGTAGAGGAGGAGGAGGAACATGGATAGGAGGAGGAGGACGTAGAGGAAGAGGGTAAGAAGGAGGAGGATTTAGAGGAGGAGTTGGAAGTAAAGAAGGAGGAGGATATAGAGGAGGGGAATGTAAAGGATGTAGAGGAGTGTGTAGAGGAGGAGGATGTAAAGGATGTAGAGGAGCATGTAGATGTAGAGTAGGAAGAGTAGCAAAAGAAGGTGGAGGCGGGGGAGGGGAGCTGGAGGAAGAGGAAGAAGAGAAGGAGGAGGCAGAACAGGAACAGGGCTGGAGAAGGAAGAGGAGGTGGATGACCAGGTGGAGAAACTGTGCAAATCGCTGCACCGGATGCAGGGGAACGAGAGTCCGTCAAATCGGCGCGTGGTCTGCCCGAGCTGTCCAGTCACAAGTCAGCTGTGCCAGCGATTTGCGTGCACGTTTGTGTGTGTGTGTGTGTGTGTGTGCCGACGACAGAGCCATAACGGACGGGGCCGGCGGAGTGAAAGATTGACAGTAACGTCATAAAATGACGACTTGATTCCTTCCCCCGATTGCCCAGCATCCCATTCCGGCCCCACTCGTAGTATGCAATAGCCGTGGCGCCACACCATGAAGAAGAAGAAGAAGAAGAAGAAGAAGAAGAAGAAGAAGAAGAAGAAGAAGAAGAAGAAGAAGAAGAAAGTGCATAATAAAACGCGAGGATGATAACAGGGTGGAAGGAAGGACGTTTATCACCGCTCGGCTTACCCTGGTTATGCAGACACTGCCTTGACAAGTGACTAAAACCTCGGTACTCACCCTTGGCCACCTTGTTGGCGCGCAGCACGCTGAGCTGCTCGCCGTTCTCGCGCCGCCAGGTGATCCTGGGCTCCGGGTGGCCGGTGGCGCGGCACGTGAGCGTCGCGTTCTCGCCCTCCGTGGCCGTCACGTCGGAGCTGGTGCCGCCGTCCGAGATGTCCGGGGGCACTGCAAGCAGAGCAAGGCATCATTCGTGAGGCCGCCGGCCGTTACACTGTCCAATCAGCGGCACGCCGATCCATCCACGGCTTGTCCACGAACTACGTAACACTCCATCTCTCTCAGTGGCCGGAGCCCTAGAGAGAGCGACGATGACAAAGTGTTACGTGGTTTTTGCACAGCACCCCAGCCAGGCGCCGCCAGGTAATCAGGCATCGTTCTAATCACTACGCCGCAGCCCGCGATGTTAACCAGCAGACACGAGGCTTCTCAATATCCTGTCAGTGCTGAGGTTACGCGAGGTCGGAATATCTAGCTGACTCGAACCACTGAAGGTCTACATAGGCCTAGCAGCGTTGATGATGATGATGATGCTGGACCATACCGCCCTTTGGTGGACTTTTTAGCAGATGATACGTTTTACTTCTCCAAAATGTACACTGAAAAGTCAGCTGGCTCTTGAGCCTAGAAACCAGACACGTATCTTATTGTGTAATATTGTGTAAAGCGCCATGGTGAATCATTTTCCAAGTACAGAAATGAGAGAAATTAGACAGATTTTTCATTGCTTCCAAAAAACGCCCCCTCTAGCAGCCGCCTCATCGGCTGACGCCACGTTACGGCCTTAACGGTCTAATTACTTGCGAAAGTTTGCTGCCTCGGGGCAGGCGGGGCTGGCGGGCCTGGGGTCCACGACGGCGTCGGCCTGAGGCACCTGCGAGATTGACGGGCACCTCGTGCTCGCGGCGGAGCGGCGGACAGAACTTGCAAGTTGGCCGGCTGGCCGAGGACGGGCGCCTCCAAGGGCCGGGACAGCCCAGAGGTGCAGCGAGCTAACGGGCCAATGGGCGTTCAGACGGCCTGCATGGCATCCAAGGCAGCACCTGGCGCCTACGATAAAGGCCCCTCCCTGGGCCCGGGCGCGTAACACCGTGATTTCCTGCGAAACCTAACCGCTCGTATATTATTCACCTGTCCGGACTGGGCTGGCTGGCTGGCTTCGCACCGCTTGTTGCGGATAAGAAGGCCGCGCCGCACTGCGGTGCCGCGCTGCCGCACCCCGGTGTCGGCCTCGGCGATTACTACACTGCAGCACCATCGACGATGATGGTAATTTCCTGTGGACCGAGCCTCCGGAGAAGGGTGGGCGCTGGCAGTACCAATCTTACAAGCAATCCGTCTCGAGTGTGCCTCTTGCAAACGACGGCAGCAACAAGCAATCCACACAAAAGGTTAAAGAACTTTTGGGACACAGGGATTGACGTATGTGTGCGGGCAAGCTACATACAAATTGATACATAAATTAAGCAGTTTCGTCCATGAGCAACATAAAGAAATTTAGGGATTAAATCGAACAAACTTACATTTGCACAGAAATAGAAATGGACAACAAAGGAACAAAAACATTCAGTGTGTATATAACGGATAAGAAAATGAAGAAATTTTGAGCTTCTTCGACGTCAAAGGCATTTGCCTGGGACAGCAGGTTCAAGGCCTGCCAAGTCGTGGAGACCGCCATTACCCGAACCTGTAGCGTGGGCTGCTCAAAAGGGGCACCCCAACAACTATTCAAGAGCCCCCTCCTTTCCCAAACGACCCGGTCCTTCCGAAAATAATGAGCGATCATCCCCCGCCCCTCTCTGCACACACTTGCGAGCTTCCCTTACGTAGCTCCGCTACGCCGGGCCTATCCGATACAGATCGCCCGGACCGTCCTGGCAGTTGGCCTCCCCAAGAACAAGCAAGCGCCAAACTACCCGTTTAAAAATGATCTTGCCCGAAATCGTGCCGGATGACGGCAGGATTTCGGGCATGCCCGGCCGGCACGCCCGAAATCCGCCCCGAACCAGGAGTCCGGGCTTGCCGAAAAACGATCATTTTGTTGGAAAATAAACCGATTTTCGGCAATGCCGGACGCTTGCCGGGCATGCCGAAATCGTGCCGAACCGTCCCTCCCATTAAGGCGCCGGGGAGGGGGAGGTACCTGGATGGCGGATCCTATTCAGTCTCGCACACACGCACACTCGTACACACACAGACGCACATACACACTCACATACACACACACGTACACAGAACGCTGAAGGAGAAACACTGGTTAGTATTGGAACCCAGGACGACCGTCTTTGTGGACCGAGACGCTGCCAACTGCACCACGGAGGAGACCTGGGGAGGAGGCCTCAGGCTCCCGATGCCTTCCAGCGAGCTCGCTCGACCCCGAGCGGCACTGGAGGGGGCGGGGGAGACACGCTGCTGGGGGAGGAGCACGCGGCGAGCCCTGTGTCTTGACGAATAAGTAACCTCCGCGAGACTCTTGGGTTACTCGCGGAGAGCCCCTCGACTTTTGGACAAGGTGCGCGGGTTCAGCTGGGCACTTGGATCTAACAGCTGACTCGGTGAACTTGAGCGGAGGTACTAGAGCACTGCGTGTGGACTAGTCAACACGCGGATCCAGGCCCACTGGAAACCCAGGTCTCAGGCTCCCAAACCCAGTTATTGGGGTGTTGGCTCTTACACGCAAACCAGGTTCTTCGCTTCCTTATAATCCACGTACTCGAAGTACCCTTTTCCCGCGGCTCATGTTATTGAGAGCCAGACCTTTTCTATAGGATGGCAAGCTAAAGTTACTATTTAGGTATGCTAAGGCTGTTAAGCATCAGTAGCTCAACGGATTCAACTGCATTCATTCAAGTACCCGTATCAAAGTGTTTAATTTGATTGGAGATTTGTTCAGTCAAAGAATTCAAAATTGTCCTACAAACATCTCGTTTGCACGGAATTTTCTAATTTTTCACGCCGGTTTTGATAGACTTGGAACTTAAGAAAGAATTTCACTATTTTAACTTTTCAATTTTGTACGCAGGTCAAAGACATTAACTTGACACTTCTTTGATTAGGGTCTCGATGCGCCCCGTCACTCGGGCATGCCCGGAATCATGCCGAAAGGCACGGGCACGCCCGAAATCCACCCGGCCGGGCAGCGGCCGGGGTCGCGGTACGATTCCGGGCCGCCCGCGACAGCGGGGCTCATTTCGGGCTTGCCGCGTGCCGGCGGCGTGTGGATTTCGGGCTTGCCGAGCGCATTTCGGCATCATTCAGGGCATGCCGGACACTTCGGCATCATTTCGACATCATTTCGACACATTCTCGGCACGATCTTTTTTAAACGGGTACTAGGAAGGGGGCGGGCCGGGGGCGTCGTATATCCCGACTAAAGCTGATACCGCCCAGGATGTTTGGCTAATCAGCAGGGGACATAATGTCTCGGCGTTTGCAGGCGACGCACGCGCGTGAGGCGCGGCGTGGCTCGACAACTAATAAAAGTAACGGGGTAAACTTTTCCGGGCGTCGGTGGTGGCGGCTGCTGCGACGGAGGCTGGCTTAGCATCACGATGCCAACTATTTCGGTTTTTAAAGAGGACCTGGCGGCGTTGTTGGCCGACCTGCATTGGTCGAAATTAAAGCGCGGAGCTCGGAAACTGGAGAAGGCGGGTGGCGGGGAGCGAGGCGGGGAGCGGGCCCGCTGTGCGCCACTGCAAAGCAAACCGAACGCGCGACCCGACCCGACCACTCCTTGCCCCAGTCCTATTAAGGGTGTCGTTCTCTCACAATAACACGATCCCGGGCGCGCCGCCCCACCCTCACGCCCCTGCTTCATTTCCATGTTAAATCAGCGTATCTGTGTCGCGCGTTAAATCAATGTCGACGGGGGCGGCGCGTAAACGAATTGATTGCGGTGCGACCCTACCTAACCCGCCCCAGCCCGCAGTTCGCACGGCCCTGGACCGCATTAATAAACCGTCCCCGGGGCAAAAAAACGTCCCGGAGCGGGTAGTTTACGGGCCGGCCCCAAACCGCGCACCCGTCGGTGAAGACCCCGCCCAAGAAAACACCGATGGAGCACTTTAATGCATCCCATCGTGACGACAAAAAATATCCCTTTTCGAAAGTCTTTTGGCGATGTCTCGGTGCTGTCTGGTCCCGACAGCCGCGACGGCACATTGGACTGCGCCTTGGGGGCTGCCCCGGGCGAGGCTGCTGCATCGCATTGCTGCCAGAGTGCAGACGGTGGCGACATTATTTTAAAAAGGGAGGCCTTGAGCCGGACCAGCTGGCGCGGCACTCTGTCTAACGACCAACGCGTCAGGAACTAATCAGACCAAATTCAACGACTGCGCTAACAGAGTGACTTACCCGCCATCTGGTGACGTCACGGCCTTGGTGGAAAGCGGCGCTCGGGGACAAAGGGGAAACGAGTTTGCCTTTCCTCGCGGGGCCTCGGTCTTGCGCGACCCATTCAGAACCGTGATCAGGACCGCTGCAATATTGAGCCTGTTTGCGCGCGCAACGAGTACCCGGCATCATTCAAATAACTTGCCCGCATTTTTGCGCCAACAAGGGCGAGTCGAGCCAAAGCGCGCCGAGCCGCGCCACCCGCGTTGGCCCGTTGGCAAACGCAGCCGATTGGCTAACATATCACGTCCGCGGGACAATCAGGTTCGCGTGGCAAAGAGCGGGAAACATATCAATCACCGGACGGGAGCGCGAGAGCCAGACATGTGCACACAGGGAATGCACCCAGGGGCCGCGGTGGCTAGCATCACGGTACGTGGATTAATTTTCCCCGGGTCGATTCCAACCAGGTCTAAACTGTTTCGTTCCTTTTTTGTGCATTTTTGAAAATCTGAACCGTATCGTAACATGTTAAAGGACTGGATCTACAACTCATCCATTGCTCAACTGGGTTTAAGGCGTCTTCAACGCTCTTGCAAGCGCTTGCAAGACGGTCCTGCATGCTCACAAGAAGCCCCCGTCTAGACAGAACGAAAGGACGCCACCGATTGAAAAGACTCCCTGTGCTACTGCAAAACGTGCTTTGCAGTGCGAATCGTCGAAAAAAAAACGGACAGAAAAAAGATGGCGTGCACGGGGCTGGCTGGTCCGCGGGTTCATTCACTTGGGGTGGCCAGGCATTGGGCCCGCTAGCCTTCGGCCAGGCGGCAGCGTGC